CCTTGGGAAGGAAGAATGAATTGCCACAAAACATCAGAGAGAAAGGTCACTTCAGTAGGTGTGAACGAAGTGTTTGTGTAGAGGGGTCAGCCTTGGCTGTATCACCCCAGCGCAGACATCTTCATTGTGTGGTTTAATTTACTCCAACCTGGGCTTCACAGGCTCAACAGGCCTTTGCGTATTCAGCTATTCAGGACATTCTCTTCCATCTGGGGGAAAAGTCATGTCCACAGGATTCCTGAACTTTGGTTTCTTCTCTCCAAGACTATTACAGTCCTGCAATGTTGGGCCTGAAGACTGATCAGGAAGTCCTTGGAGAACTTGTGAAAATGAAAGTTCCAGCTGTGGCAGAGCTGATGGAAAGGCACGGAGTCATGTGGACCCTCGTGGTGTCACGCTGGTTCATCTGCTTGTTCATTGACATTCTTCCAGTAGAGGTAACCAGTAACAAAGTTCTCCTAAAAAAACTGCTCATAATCATAATTCCAGTTGTAGTGCTTTACGAATACTTACCTACTGGAAATCAAGAAGCTGTAATTGGAATTCTCTCCTTCCCTGCAGACCGTGCTCCGAATATGGGATTGTTTGTTCTATGAAGGGTCAAAGATCATCTTCCGCGTGGCCTTAACATTAATTAAGCAACACCAAGCTTTTATCTTGGAAGCCACGAATTTCCCTGACATCTGTGATAAATTTAAGCAGATCACCAAAGGAGCATTTGTAACAGAGTGTCACAGCTTCATGCAGGTAACGTCTCCGCAGCTTTTACCTGGTACAAATTAAAACCAGGACTGACTTGGGAATGTTGGGCTCAGGGAAGAAGATAGATGCAGGTACGAGAAACGTATCTGTAGGAATTGCCAAAAGACGAGGAATGTTTTTATATATGAAATGCAAACCTTTTAAGGACTTTTTTAAAGCATTATCATGTAAATCCATAATACATTAAACCATTCACATTATCTGTCATACAGAAAAAAAAATTTGCCCCTTTTGACCAGTTAAGGCAGGAAGTCTGATGAGATAGTAACAGTAGTGCATTCTTTTACTGAGCTAAGCATTGTGTTCCTGTGCTTTTTTCAGATGAATTATAATAGGGGATTGCAGAATAGACATGAAGTGGGCTTTAAATTTGCACTGATAAATTTTCCTAGTGCCAGAATAAAGCATCATCTTTAGTCAGACAACACAAAGATGCCACCAAGTTCTTTCTTCCAGACAAAATCCTTGGAGTTGAGTGCTCAAATTTTATGACAACCTGGAAACTAAGAATTATTCCTGTAGACCTTTAATAGATTGGATGCCAGATCTGTATAAAACACTAGATTCAGAGCTTAACTCAGAAGATTGAGCTGTAGAAGACATTAATTGCAAAAAAACCATAACAGGAGCATGTCTGTCATCAGGCACTTGGCCAGCTCCACTATTGCTGTTTGCCAGGTGTGCACAAACCCACATCCCCGTAGATGACTCTTACTCCCTGGGAAGTTTTGTGCTCATATCAGAGCTCTGTGCGTAGGTCTGTCACCTGTGTTACATTTCACCTTTGCCACTATAGAGGAAAAATAAGCTTAAGTGTTTGTGAGCCTTTTAATTAAAGCAGCAAGGGAAAAATAAACTGCAGGTACAGCTTAATTTACAATGGAGATGTTTGAGGGGGGTTTTCCTGTTCCATACAGGGTTTGGAGTAAGAGTTTTGTTTAACGCTAACTGCCATGAGAATGTCAGTTCAGAGGTTGATAAAAACACTTGCCCTTGAAGGGCTTCCCCCTCCTAATTACATTTTACAGCAGCTGTTTTTAGAAAAACCCAACTACCTTTTTTTCTTCCAGTTACTCTGAATAAAACACCTATTTTACTAGTTTTGGTTCCTGCAGTGCAGGGGCTTTCAAGACAATTCAACAACTTAATTCAGGTTCTTACAGAACTCTGAAACACATACTTCTGGGTTTGGTTCTGGTGTTGTTTTTCCAGCCATAGAGACAGCAGTATGGAGGGAGGTGATGACATTAGGACATGTCCTCCTCCCCCAGAACAAAATCTTAGTTTTTAGTTCTGTGCAGTGCAGACTTCTGTACTAGCATGCTGTTCAAATCTGGCCCAATTACCATCTCTTCTCCAGAGCTGTCAGTTACAGAGAACTCAAGAGGCCCTCACATCCTAACTGTAGATTAAAGTGCATAAACTTGCAGCTTCCCTCACAGTTTTGTTCAGTCAGGAGATTTAGCTGAAGCAATGAAAACAAATATGTCATTCTTGAGAGCATTTGAAATGCCTCAAATTGTTATATCCATACACATTGCTACTCTGGAAAGCTCAGGAGGGAAGAGGAGCAAAGGCAGGGGCTTAAGACTGATTTTTTTTTTTGCAGTAGGAACATGCTGGTTTATGTATGTACGTACATGTTCCAGAGCCTGAACGACCCATGCCAGCACCACCCAAGAAACACACTGGTGCTTTGTAGCATTACCCAGGATAGCTTAATGCCCTCCTGCCTCCAGCACAAATGCCTTCTCAAATGATTTTAGCTGGATCCTTACGTTCAAGCTACCTTTTGTACTGTTGCCTTTGCCTAACTTCCAGCTCTGGCTGCGAGCTGCAGGTTTACCATGTCTTTACAATAGAGCAGACGACGTTACCCTCCTACAAGAAGGCCGAACAGCAGCATGGCTATCAAAGCAGGGACTTCACACTTTAGAGAATCACTGAGAGTTCTGATGTGTTGTCCAGAGCCAGAATTCTAACTAGTTTTCTCCTTTTTTCCCCAGAAAATATTCACAGACCCTGGCAGCTTGTCCATGACAACAATCAACAAACTCAGAGAGACCTGCAGAGAGAAGTTGCTTTCTCAGGGATGACTCCCCACATCTAACCAGGTGATCAGATACTACAGCGATGGACACATTCCTCTATTTGCACTGACTAAAGCACACTTAAAGCTTTCCATGAGTTAACTGACACTTGACCAATTTTTCCTGCCTTTCAAGTAAGTGTTGTTAACACTTTGTACTGTACGTCAGACTTTGTAACTGGAACGGGTGACTGCTGGCTCCATTGGTGTGTTTTTTAAAGGATGAAAGTGTGTTTTCCAGAGTAGAATGTCATCAGTGTCAGGACACTCCTTTTAAAAAAGCAGTTGCTGTCCTTGTCTTTTCAGGGCATTTTGTAATGTTAAAAGAAAACAGGTGTATAAAATTACATATCCTTCCTACTGCATTAACTGGGACACTGGCTATCATATGTACAAAATAAATTAATTTAATTTGTCAGAACCTGTTTGTTGGTATAAAGCAAGTAAAATATCTGATCTCTTTCCTGACTGCCACTAGCTGGCTGGAATACAAGCATCTGCCCTTTTCCTTGCTGCTGTCGCTTAAGGAACTCAAATATGGTGAAGCACAGAGCGACACCACAACCAGGAAGGGGATCTTTATGTTCATTAACAGTCAGTCTACGCAGCATGTAACAGCTCTTCAGGTGAAGGCAGCAGGGAACAAGGGCAGGTCCAGCTGACAGAAAGCAGCAGCAACATGCCTCTAGAACCAGCCTGACTATTTTATATGCTTTTTTCAGGGTTTTCTAGCTCCAGCACAGCAACTAACAGGTAATTTGATGCAAAGCTGGAAGCAGCATTTCTCACATTGTGATAAGGAATGCTGAAAGTAGATGCTGTACTTCTACTCTGTGCTGAGGCTGCACTATGGGTGCTATATCCTCATACACCTGCATCCCTACGAATTTTGGGAGATGCACTCCTAGAGACAGCCACAGGCAGACTTCCTCCTAGCCGGGCTGAGACGTGGGGCAGTTCCAAAGCTGTACCTTAATGCAGCTCTCTGACCTCCCCCTGGGCAGAAGGAAGTGGAACAGCAGCCCAGCCCCTGGCACCAGGCCACCTCCCGCCCTGCTTTAGGGCCCTGAGAGGGCCCTCTCGTGGCCAAACCCTTTCCCCTGCTGGGGAAGGCAGGGAAGAAAGAGGGGCCAGCCTGTGCTTTTTATGCTCCCCCGTGGACCAGCTCCTGCGTCCAGCTCCTGAAGGCTCACCTTTTTACACCATGCTCCTTTTCAGACTCTTTCCATTCCTTGTCAAGGCAGGCTTATCTTCCCCCACCCCTACAGACTGAGTTTCTTTCATTCCTCAGCAGGCAAAAACACC